AAAGTAATCAAAAAAAAAAAAAAAAGTAACATTTATCGACAGTATTGTGTTTTATGTCCCTTCATTAAAATAACAGCAAATACATATAAACATCCAGATCAGGTGTGTCCAATTTGCACAACCGGCGTTGTATAACCAAAATTGAAATAATTGAATAAGAACTTTATTATTCGTATAATTTTAATCATGAATAATCATACCGTTTGTTTTTTTTTAATTTAGTGTTAGAGTAACTAATTATGAATAATTTCCAAGAGCCAACGAAATATTTTTTTATTTTAGGCGGTACTCCATTTCTCAGTTGATATCAATATGTTGCCAAACAAATGAAATTGAGTTGCAATCAGACATACAATTGCAGGAAAAATTTATCCAAGTGTCTTTATTAGATTTTCATAAACTCCAGCTGCCTAAAGTGGAAGAAATGTAGTTGTTTACACTATAAAATGCTATAATTGCTTTAATATCATCACAAATAACATAGCTTACATTGAACTGATAAAAAAGTGCGGCTCTCTCGACAATATAATTTTTTTTTATAAAAAAATTATACACCCATGATCCAGGTATATACGAATGCTAATCTTATCCTCGAGAATCCAAGGAAAAATATTTAATCGAACAAATCATAATCCAATTATCAGTTGTTCCGTTGAATCCTCACGTGTGTACTTCCCGGTTAAAACATTTATCCGTGTTTCGAAAAACCCGCTGGATCGTGGTCCACAGCGAGAGTAAACAGGGAAAGTTGCCGCAACGTCGTTAACAACCGGCGAACACGAATGTTTGACCAGGCGATTAAAATTCGCGGCGTGCCGGTCCACCACGTGCATCGGCGAGTTCGCGATTCAGAAAGGAATACCAGGTGGGACAGGTGGCAAACGAGTGAGAATTATCGCATTCCTCGTGTTTCTAGGAAACACTGCCAATCCAACTGAAACGCGAGGATCTTGCGTGGGATCTTGCCATGGGCCGCACAGGATACACGTGCATCAGGCACGTTTTTTGCTCCCTCAACGTTCTCATTTGGGTACGTAACGCTTGTTATCTTTATCAATTTATCATATAACTAGAGGCAATCAGCATGTGCATTGTTTCTTTTTTCTTTTTTTTTTTTTTTTTTTTCAAATAAAACTTTGATCGTTCGTAGCTTCTTCAATGACACGTCGCGCATTCGAGGATCCATCGGCGAGGAAGCAATATTTTAGTAAACTTTTTTCTCCCATTTCACGTGATTTTGCGTCCAAATCGGCGCAACGTTGATAAAAAAAAAGAGAAAGAAATTTAAGCAACAAATTTATGCAATTTTCCATTTCGACTTCTTCTTTGCGATTTCATTTAAACTAGCAAAACGTCGATAAAAACAGGAAACTGATCAAACTCATGCAGTCCGATATTCTTTATCGTTCCGTTCAGAAGAACGCCGACGAATAAACGGCATGAAATCGAGAAATGTTCAGACATTTTCGCGAGGTATATGACAGAAAATTTATACTCGTCAGAAAGCTCGAAAATTTATATGCCCCTCCGAGGCATATACTTAATACAAGATATTTTTTTTTTTTTTTTACGTGGAGAAAATTTTCATAAGACACTTGAGTCTTTTAAGGGAAGACTCACGATGGCCTCCGCACGTTCGGAGAGCTCCGGGACCTTTTTATACACACAGAGAGCTCTCCTGTGCTGTTGTCCTAAAGGACAATGTCTCTTTTTTTTTTCGCTCGAATCCTGGACCCTCAGATTAAGAGTCTGATGCTCTACTAACTGAGCCATCTCAACCTCTCTAATACAAGATACTTCGATACTTAATACAAGCTAATCAAAATGTCATTAATCTTCGCTTGATCGTCATCGCGATTTATGCGCGTACGTACGTATTTACGGAAATATAATTATCGCATGCAACATCCGGTCCCACTCGTTTCATCATCGTCCATAAAAGCCTCTCTCTCTCTCGGTTAAAAATAAATATTGTTCGACTATGCCGCTGACGGCCGAGGCGGCACGCGAATCGAAAACAACGCGATTCGAACGTGACCGTAAGCGTGTCACGTTCGCGGGCCCAGAAACGAACACGATCGAACAAAGTTAATTTCCATGGTTGTTCGTGCCGATGCTGTGCGACGCGAGGAGGCAGAAACGGGGAGGATCTCGGCCCACGCATGCGATTAAATCGATGCGCATTGTCATTCTCGCTGCATTCCGTTGCCCTGTACTGTCTCTCCTCTCGAATTTATTGTGCCACTTGAGAGATCGCCGCGCGCCACTCTTAAATAGGACGTTGAACCATGCTCTATGAGCTATGAACTTACTTACGGTACCCGTGGAGATGCTCGTTTAACCGGCCTTCTCCTCTCAACCGGAGATCTTTCAACAGGTGCACACCGGTCGTTATACGTTTCTCCATTATTGTCGTCGTCGCATTCTGATTTAATTCAATCGAACAGTTCGATATGCTCGTATGGACATAGTAGCAACTTCATACGTTACATTCTCCGTAGGTATAAAGTAAATTCTCCGGTATTATGAAATATTGTCTTGGAGAAAAACATCTGGAGCTTCGCGTTTCTGGAGAATAGAAAGAAATGGGGTCGAGACGGAATCCTTTTACAGAAAATCTCATTTATTGGGTGAGACAGTCGACGAGTCGCTTGTAACATTCTGATCTTGCTGAATTGAAACTTTCTCAATAATTGCAATTCAATCGAACAGTATCACACATTTTTGGTAATTAACGCTGGAACTACCAACAATTGAAGCATAAAATTTCCATCAGAGACGTTGAGAGGAAAAGAAACAGAAGATCCTTGCAATACAAGCTTTCACTTTCATTTCGTTTCATATTTTACGAAGGATCATTCAAGCCTATAAAAATACATCGTTTTATCACATCTGTAAAACATGTGTAACAAAATTATTCAAATAATCTCCCAAGGAGATAAAAGAAAAAAAAATCCATAACCTACTTGAATTGCTTCTATCACTTAACACGTATCGGAGAGACATCCAAATGCGGGCTGTATTGCAGGTAGAAGTTCTTCACTCATTCTCAATTATCTCCAATTCCGTCGAGATACACAATTTTCCACGTTACGTGGCCCTCGTTACGCGTCTTGTGCCCTTAATTGTGCAAACTCGCGTTGAAATTGCGTCTGCAATTTCGCGCGGGCACGCAGTCGGTTTGCTAATCTGTTGT